CGGGGGGGGGGGGGAGGGGCGGGGGCGATCACGAGCGTTATCGCGCCCAGGCTAAAAAAACGGGCTCCAGCTGTCTGGCTTCACGGCGCGCGGATGTCGAACGAGAGCGGCGGCAGCGGCCGACGTCTTCGGCGGCGGCGCGCCCCAGAGCCCTGCCCTGCCCCAGGCGGCGGCGACGCCATCCTTCCTCTTCTTCCTCGTGTTTCTCGATCTTGGCCGAGCTCGTGATGTCATATAACTTCCTTCTAGCTTGGCAGATGTTCAGATGTTGCGGGCGCCTTCGACACAATCAGCTCAGCTCGTTGTCGAAATTGCGTGCTTTCGGTTTTCCACTTCGGTTGTGCAATGCATTTGCCGGTTGGAGGCCCGCGCTGTGGCACGAGGGAAGCTCTGACGCGGAACAATCGCGATGGACAATTTTGGAGGGGCCCTGGGACACACAAAGAAAGAGACACCAATCCTGTTCCCAGGTGTTCTGGGTTTCGTCTTCCACCTCACTTCCCGCAGTTTCCTGCACTTTCCTTGGAGCCGACGAATCACTGTGTCTGTGTGTTCTTCCCCCTCCTGAAAATTGTGCGTTTTCGTCCCGAGGTGGCCCTCGACGGGCCCTGGACCGTCAAGACACGGCTCGTGATGAAACGCCGGTCCCTGGAAAGATCCAGGCCCCGGGGGATCTCACGTCTTGAGCGGGTTTCGAAGCGTCACCACGCTGAGTACCGCGATGGCAGCAGGATCTGATGCTCGCACGTTAGCGCTGCGCACATTCGTCGTATACTCGTTTGGCTATGACACGCATGGAGGGCGGCACGGTTTCCAAGTGGGGTTTCCGCTCACGACTTGACCGAACCTAGAGCTATATGGACGAAGTATAACTTTGTACGAATGGTACACAGATGAAGGGTAGTCCTTTACTGAAGAGGGCTCTCGCTGGACACTTCATTCAACTTTACGCTGTACGAATTGGCAAGTACTGTAACTAGCAGTATTACGGTTAACTCATTTTCAAAACAGTGGCTATCGCCTGAATGATAGGCCCACGGTGCGTTGACTTTCGAGCAGGAGCTTCCATAGTGAAAAGGGACAGTGAAGGGACTGATGAGGAGGGGACTTGGGACGAGAGGGTGCATCATAGCATCATTCATCCATCCTGGGTTTACTTGCTTCCTTATCCTCGTCCCCCCTGCTCATCGTCATCACTCTCCCCTCTGCTTCTCCTCGTCCCCCCTCACCCGTCCGTATGCCCCCTCCTCCTCTTCCCCGACAGAGAGAGAGAGACAAAGAGGCGGCGCGGCGAAGAAGAAGACGAATAATAATAATAATACTACTAATAATAATGATACTAATAATAAGAATAATAATAATAATAACAATAATTACCCTGTTACGTACCCAACCATTTCTATACATGTGGCGATGATTATACTCAGGACTACTCAATGCTGACTGGCATTCTGAAGGACCCGCAGTGCGCTGAAAAAAACACACAACAATGCTTTCAGAAGAGCGCAGCAAAAAGTCCGTGGTGATCCGCGTATGACGTACCTCCGCTGGGCCTCACAAAAACCCACGAAAATGGCGACGGTTGCGCAGATCGCAGCCCCCCAGGGGCGGCGAGGTACCGTGGTGATCCGCGTACGACGTACCTCCGCTGGGCCTCCCAGGAGCCCACGAAAGTGGCAACAGTTGCGCAGATCGCAAGCCCCCCAGAGGCCGGCGAGGTCCCGAGGTGTTCCGCGTGGGACGTACCTCCGCTGGGCCTCCCAGGAGCCTACGAAGGTGGCGACAGTTGCGCAGATCGCAAGCCCCCCAGGGGGCGGCGAGGTCCCGAGGTGGTCCGCGTGGGACGTGCCTCCGCTGGGCCTCCCAGGAGCCCACGAAAGTGGCGACAGTTGCGCAGATCGCAAGCCCCCCAGGGGGCGGCGAGGCCCCGAGGTGGTCCGCGTGGGACGTACCTCCGCTGGGCCTCCCAGGGGCCAACGAAAGTGGCGACAATGGCGCAGATCGCAGCCCCCAGGGGCGGCGAGGTCCCGAGGTGGTCCGCGTGGGACGGCCTCCGCTGGGCCTAACCAGGAGCCCACGAAAGTGGCGACAGATGCGCAGATCGGACCCCAGGGTTCGGCGAGGTCCCAAGGTGTCCATGTGGGACTGCCCCGCTGGGCCTCCCAGGAGCCCACGAAAGTGGCGACAGTTGCGCAGATCGCAGCCCCCAGGGCACGGCGAGGTCCCGAGGTGATCCGCGTGGGACCCACCTCCGCTGGGCCTCCCAGGAGCCCACGAAAGTGGCGACAGATGCGCAGATCGCAAGCCCTCCAGGGCACCGCGAGGTCTCGAGGTGATCCGCGTGGGACCGACCTCCGCTGGGCCTCCCAGGAGCCCACGAAAGTGGCGACAGTTGCGCAGATCGCAAGCCCCCCAGGGGGCGGCGAGGTCCCGAGGTGGTCAGCGTGGGACGTGCCTCCGCTGGGCATCCCAGGAGCCCGCGAAAGTAGCGACAGTTGCG